CTTGTACATTTCCCTAAAATTAAGTCTGCCCTTCTCCTCTTTTTAATACTCACATATTGGGGGAGGTGTTTTTATTTAAAAGTTTTGGGTGAAATTCATTCTGTTTTGCTAAGGAGCTTAATTTCTCATAAAGTTCTTTTCAGTGGATGAGAACTTAAGTTTCTATTTTCCTGAGTTAGCATCAAAAAATTAGTAAGAATGACACCTATTTTACCTGAGCATGCAAAATATATTTTATGTTACAATGTTTTTAATACTCTTAAATCCATTACTTTTAATAATGTTTGAGCATGAACACTGATAAAGTTCAAACAAATTTATTTTAATAGCGATCATAACATACAATATTTTCCCATTTTAGAAAATAGGCACTATGTTTTCCTCTAACTTCTCTTTTAGCAAAGGATTCTAAAAATGATTTCTCAGGGAAACTGTTAAATATGAATTTACTGATCTGTTGTAATATTCTGAAGTTATCCACAGAGCCATTTAATTCAGAGGCATATTATTATGTACTCAATTCACCTGAACTAATAAAACACCAGGAATTCTTTTTTTCTCCTTGTCAGCCTCCCAAGAGCTTCAAAATGACATTTTAGATGCCCATTCCAGAAAGCTGTTATATCTAAAGAACCAATGGGCTACCTATATCAGAACCTACAAAGCTCAGGATTCCTCCTTACTGTACGTACATGATATTAATGGTGATATGGATTGGAAACAGGAGAAAAGGAAGAGGATTTTCATTTCTTCTTCCCACCTCTATGATCTAAAGCAGGGTCTCCAACCTTAGCTTTGCTGGCTGAGGAATTCTGGGAGTTGAAGTCCACAAGTCTTAAAGTTGCCAAGGTTGGAGAACCCTCAACTCTAGACCATTACTGGTAACTTGTTCTATTGTTTGGTAATAAAAGAGAGAATTATCAATACATGTTTTAAAGAACTCTTTCACAATTTGTAGACCTGGCTTGGAAATGGAGAAGAAATGAGCAAACTGTTGGGGAAAGAAGAAAATCCTGAGAATGAGGAATTAAAATAGCCCTGCCTTGATTTTGTTTTGTAATTGGCACAGTTTCTCTAGCCAGGTGACAAATATAAGATGTTTTTACTTCATTGTTAGTAAAATTCTTCAAGTGGTCAAGAATTACTTCTTAAGAGGTTAAATGATACATATCAGCCAGTCTTTTTTATTCATTTTAGTAAAAATTTTGATTTAAGTTCATCAGCTGTGGTACAGTATATCTTCTTTCTAAGAGAATTTTCATTTTCACTCTAGCATCTTCCAAAATATTAGCTAGAGAGGCTTTCTACATGATGTAAACATGGTTTTGTAGGTGATTAATTGGGAAACAGGGGTATTTTATTCTGAACAGAAGAATGCGAGAGGCATGTAAATTCCACAAAGTAGGAAATTTACAAAAGATAAATATGTAAAAGCCCTCAAGCAGAATATTCAAATCAGAGCAAAGTAAAACACATTAACAAGATTGGAATTCGGAATGCAATAACAATCTACAGAAAGCTGATAAGGCTCTAGAATGTGCCTTTCCTAAGAATCTTGATCTTGATATGGCAGGTGATTCTTTCCTCAGGCAATAATTAATTCTGTTCCTAGGTTGGCTTGAATCTCTCCAGAGTTGAAACCTTCAATTATGACAACTAAGTCTCCAATTTATGATACATCTGTGACATAAAAAGGCTTAATTCTGCCAAAATACCTCAGGCTTTTATAGAATACAAAATGTAGGAAAGTTGGCTAGGATCCAAACCTAAGACAGGCATGGCCACTGGCAACTGCAATATACACAACCTATAAGAGTGCTTATCATGTAAAATTATTGATAATGTAATGATCTCCTCTGCCTTTGACAGAATGAACTTGGTAAGGATATGTGTAACTAAATGTTTTGTTCATTGGTTTATTTCTGCATTTAAGACATATACATGACTGCCCAGCTCAAACAATTGTGACTCTGGATGGCATATAATCAACATGTAAACAATAACAAACCAATATGGTACAAACAGCAACAAAAATTAATAGGTGATAAGAAACCAACTCTATCCAGAACAAGAATTAGATCTTGGGAAAGCAGAGGAGAGATTTAACAAATACTGTTTATTCTTATGGATGGAGTACCACCACATATCTCCCCTGATTTTCAAGGATGCTAAACAAGTAAATATACCTACATTTGAATGTTACTGTTTGAGAGATAATGGCTGAGTTATTTGAGACAAGCATGAGAATAAAAAAGTGGAGAACTATTTTGAAGGATGATTAAATTACCATGCGGCAAAATAGAAAAGAAGGAATGGCTGTTTGAGAGGTGGTAGAAGTGTTTATAGCTTATCTCCTTCTGCTAGAGAGAAGTAATTCTGACTCTTCTTTACAAAGGCAGCACTTCTCTGACCCACTTCACTTGATTCTCATGAATGTTGCCTTAGTGCGGATACTGCACTGATTACCTATCTTTTAAACAATATTTTTATTCATATAAAATAAATATTACATCTCATTTAACTATAACTGGTACCATTTCTTTATTCCCCTTTGTAAGGGGTTTTTTTTTCTGGCTCTATGATATTGTTTTGGCTTTTTTTAATCTCATGAGTTATGAGTGTTATTTCCATACAATTGCACATATTTTCCATATTTCACACAAGCCAGTTATTTATCACACACATATACATGTGTTTTGAATTATTTTTAAATTAGCTGCTCCTTACTATACATTTTTTAAAATTATACTGAGGATTTTTCAGCTTCAGAATCAATGATACAGTCGGTGCTTTATAATAGCCTGCCTTTTTATTTTCATAAGTTCTTTGTCTTTGCTTTCAAAGAACGAACAGGACTATGCACATTTGCGTTTACCAATACCTTTAGGGAACACTTTGTGAATTTCTATTCCACTTTTGGAATCACTTACTCACTTACTTAAGTGGAATCACTTAATCACATACTCTTTCTGTCACCAACAATGCCAGCTTCTTTTCAGAACAATAGTCTACAACCTGGTGGCCTTAACATGTGTTGGAAGTCCCTGAATTCCCAACCTACATGGCCTTTGACTAAGGAAAGCTGCTCTACTGTGCCTTCACAAAATTGTGGGATTAATATTCTTTATATTTCTATTCTATAGATTGCATTGTAGAGTAGTACTTTTTACAACCTCACTTTGCTATGTTTGGGGGGAAAAGGTAAGCAGGAAATTAATCCCTACATGGAAACAGTAATTGATTACCATAGAGAGAGAATGTTATGTCTTTTAAAACAGATGTAAATTGAAAAAGAATTTTTTTCTTTTTATTGCAATAGAACAGAGCCTTCTAGAATTAGAATCTTCTACTTGATAGGAACAATAATTTGTATTCCTGATATGCAGTTTCCAATTTCTTTTCTTGTGATTGGAAAATTGTGTCCATGAGAAACTATTGAACCTCAGGTTCAATATTATCCCTTCTGTTAGTGACTGGGAACCTCAAGATGTGGCCTAATGATTTTGGTTTACAATTTGGCTTATCATCTATTCCCATTAACTATCCATAGAATGCAAACACACAAGACCACAGTTTCCTTGTCCTGCTTGAAATAAACACGGCAATATGAGAAAATGTAACTTCCCCATAGAAACTACAGTTTATTTTTGATGTTACCGTTGAGTGAAATTGATTATTTCTAATGCTGTTGTCCTGAAATGACAGAAATATCTCTGGGACAAAGCCTACCCTATGATTAAAAACACGTTCTCTTTCTGATAATGATAACATTGTTTTATTTAATTTGACTAGGCTGGAATATGGTACACCTGAAGTGGGGCTAAGCAAATGCATCATCTTTATGTCATGTTTATAACTATGTATTGGATTAAACTGTTAAAAGATAAGTTCACTGATCAATTGGAGTGGGGTTTCAATAGCTCCAACATTAAAAAAAAAAAAATCACTGATTACAAACAAGTATATTTGTCCTCAGTTCATAATATTTTTCATATGTTCACTTATTGTTTTAATTCACAAAAAAATGATAAAGTAATCTTCCTAATGTACCAAGTATATTGGACACAATTCCCAAGTTGGAGAAGGCTGTAATAAAATCATTCATTCATTCGTTCATTCATTCATGAATTTACATGGCTACCATCTCATACACAATAATCCTAGCCAACTCACAAAAACAACCAATAACTACTAAAAAAAACCCAATAATTTTACACCTTACAAGCAAAATACTGTACTTTCCATCATGATGCCATCAAATCCAGTCAGCTCCACATTTGGTGAGTTCACCCCCATCCTAGCTCAATGCTTGGGAGAAGAGCCAAGTTTTTGTGTCTTTTCTAATCTAAGAGGCTACGACCCATAAGTCGTAGGAGCTACAGAAAAGGCATGTTTCCATGGTCCTACCAGATGACATTTAAGAGAAGGGACCTGGAGTACACCCACTGTATCCAACTGGTGGGACAGGCAGATACCTTCAAAGGAACTCTGACTAGGCAGGCCCTAGGGAAGAGATCAGGATACATCTTAGTTCTGTATCTGGGAAGAGTTTAAGATGGTTGACCTTTAGGAAGCAATCAAGGTGTTTTGATGACCCCCCCCCCTCCTCTCTATCTCTTTTGCTCTGAGCTCTGCCACCTGTATCCTGATTGGTTAATGTGATTGCATGTTGTTAAATGTTTTCATATAAAATTTAAAAAGTCACTGTGAGGTCATAAGAGAAAGTGTTCTGTACTCACAAACCCTTTCCTTTCTAGCCATCCACCTAACCTCATTTATCAGGGACAGCTGTATAAGAATTTTGGCAAACCAAAGGATTAAGGGAACTATATATGAGGGGAAAACATTCCTTATATAGATTGACCCTTAGCGACTTAATGCAGGGGTGGGCAACTGTGGCCCTTTTACAACCTGTGGACTTCAAGTCCCAGAATTCCTGAGCCAGCTTGGCTGTCTCAGGAATTCTGGGAGTTGAAATCGACAGGTTGTAAAAGGGCCACAGTTGCCTACCCCTGACTTAATATTTAGAGATCAATCCCGACTCTTTTCAGATTTAGATTTAAAAGCAAGTTTGGCATATTTATCCTATGGACACAAGGACTCCTTAAACAGGTAAGCATGTTTTCACTCCAGAGAAATCCTCAGGATAAATGTATGATGGAATAATGGTCTCATCAGCCTCGAGAGTAGTCCCATTTTTGGTGACCTCAGAATTCTCTTCCTTAAAACCTTAGAGAGCCTAACAGGAAGAGTCTCTAAAAAAAGAGAAAAGTATGTTGACGATCCAAAAACAATTTAATTTCTCAGTCCAGAGTATCTGGTCTACTGAAAGCTCCAATAAAGATGTAGGGTTGTAGCTATCCAACATCACAAAAGCACAGTTTGTGGTGATATTTGGGCTTCATCAGCCAGCCTTGAGAAAAGATCCAGATCTCTTTAGAATCCAACTATATAAAACCTGGTATCACATATTACAAACTTATTCCCTGCTGACAATTCCCTTCGTGCCTTGCCCATTATTTTACAAAGAACAGAATTCAGACTGCTAGAGATGTAATTGTTGAAATCATTTTTTTCCCATCTTTTTGAAGTTCAAATTAAATCCAGTCACCTGGTACTTCTCCTTTTCTTATGATCCCTTGAAAATAAATGCGGTAAAGAAAAACACTTTTCCCCCTTCATTGCTTATTCCCCTAGCAAACACTGAAAGACCAATTGTTCCTCACAGTTGCTTGACAAATATCAATCCTCTTTCATGTTTAGATGCACTTTCTTATTTTTCACAAAGTAAAATTTATTGTGTATATTCCTTTTCTATTTTGTTTTGCTTTGCTTTTCAGCCTTCCTCATGAACAGCCAATTGGGAATTCTTGTGTGTGGTCTGCTTTTCTAAAACAAATACGGCTAAATATATTCTGTTGCTTGCTTATTTCCACCTACGTTGTGCAGGGAGCAGTGCCTTAATTTAAATTTTCTCTTGGGAATCACAACTGTCTCCTATAGTGCTGCATTTTAATGTTTCCTTTTATTATCTAGGTTATAGAAGGTAAATTCTGATACCCTTATAGAGCTTCTACTGATGATCCTTAAAGGATGAAAAAACAGAAGCAAACAGCATCTGGTCTGTGAATCTTGATTCCTAAAGTCTAATGCTGCATTCCTGAAATCCAATATATTTCTAATATTATACTTAATAAAACATGAGTGAGATCATATTCAAAATCCTATTATCAAGTCATGCAAGCATATTTTTTACATCTAATAGCCTATTAATTAACAAGGTATATAAGAAACTGTGCCAAACTCAAGGTCTATCTAGTCTTAACCAATATTCAGTTGCAGGCTAGAGTCCATAACCTTATTCTCCATGATCTTGCCAGCCTCTCATAACTTCTAAAATGGCAAGGTATTATTAAAGCCCGTGATAGCCCATTTCATCATTTAACTAAGCCAATGTGCAAACACACACATCCTTTACTCTGTTCTATACTTCTTTGTGGCCTCTCCTTCATTTTGTGGTTTTATAGATCTTCTTGTGTGCAACTGAGGAATGTAAAGCAGGAGGGGGAATCTAATATCGCTTGTTTAAGTATTCTGTTCATTCTCTAAACTCCACTTCCTTTTCTAACCACACCAAATTTAAATAAATGAACAGTGAGAAAAAAAGTGAAAAGAAGCTGCATAGCTAATTAATATATGTAGATGTGTAATTCTTGTTTATGGTGCCCTTTTAAATTACATTGGATGGGAGTGGAAGAAAACCCCATTCAAAAAAGCTGAAGATAATTGGTAAGCTTTGTTTGGTAAGAAAAGATAGCCAAAAGACTATATTATTATAGGTACTAACCATATGACTTACCCAGTCCTGCCCTCGGTGCAGCACACTATCTGTAGGCTTCAGTTCTGAAACAGAGAGAAAAATTGTGAAAAGGAATCTTTCCCCTATACAATGGAGAGCTTTTTCTGTCCAGGTAAAGTAAGAGTACAATGTTCCAATCATGCTTTTTGGCATTCCACAAACTAGTCTGCCTGAAATCACTTCAGCTGAAGTTCTTTAATTGTCACTAAAAAGGCAGACTGACATTGAGAAGGTATGAGGGTTCTCACTGTCACATTGACAAGGTTAGCAAAAAGAAGAAAAATCTCAAAAAGGGCCTTGTTATCATAGCATCCTAAGGGATTTTAAAAGGCAAATAATATCCTAGTCAAATAGAAACTGGGCTATCTGAATATATGTGGTTTGCTGAAACAAGAGATGGTAGAAATTGAAAGGTTTATACAACAGCAATTTAAAATGCACACGGGGTGGATTTAGGAATGAAGAGTAATCTGCTGATTTGAGTGTTAATGCTAACAGATTAATTTCATGCCTTTTGAATTAATGCACGAGCTGAAATGCAGTTATGTCTTCAACTTTTGTAATGCACATCTTTGATTTTAAAAATAAGAAAAATATGCTTATTAATGAAAAGTATAGACTAAAAAATTAGGAAAAAATGCTTGCACAAAATGATTACGCAAAACGGTGAACCAAAACACTGCTTGAAATGAAGTTGAAAAATAGTCCAAACTTTCAGATGCTCAAAAGCAGGACAATTCGTTTTAACCAATAGAGATAATAAGCATACAAATTTTGCTATTGTTTATGGCAGAATAATATTAAAAACTCTAAGAATAGACAGCTGAGTAGAAACTGATTTTTTAATTTAAAAATACTTCTTGTAAGAAAATTTTGTTTATTTAGAAAAAAGTTAAAGGTTGTATGAGGTTCAGTATCTTACAATAAAGAAGTTTTCTTGTTTTCATTCTAACCTTCCTTCTTCCCTCCCTCCTTCCTCTTTCCATCACTCCATATGGAAAAAAAGAAATAAAATAAATTTGCAGAAATATTTGAACAGTTGTTAATCGAAAAACTATATTTAGGAAGGTCAATATAAAGTGTATTAATGTAAATACTGATCTATTTCAGCAGCTTCATGGCTTGCCACCATACTATTTTAAGCCATCCAGAGTAACCTATGGGTGCATTGGACAGTTATATAAATTTGTTTTAATAAATAAATAAAATAATAAATACTATTTTATTTAAAAGTATCTGTGGATTGTGAAATTAAAATGATAGACATTGGCAATTTTCTTAATAAATTATCATGGCTGCATCTTTCTATGATGGTAAGATTGAGGAGTCGGAAGTTTAGTGCTACATAATGCATGTGGGAAAATACATGCTTCATGAACAATATATACTGAAATGGGTTGAAGAGCCAGAGCTAGTTTGAACCCAGAAGACAGGATAAGGGAAGAGCTGCCACTAATGTGAAAACAGACCACCCACACAATCTGTAAAGCCCCTCAAGTCAAAGGAAAACCCCAACTTTATTTTGGTCCTATAAACTAGAGCAAAGTGTTAGATCAGGCGCAGGAACAGAAGACGTGACCAGCTCGATACATTGAATAACTTTATTCGTTACAAAGTAGCAAGACAAGACTGCTGGCGCGCTGCCAGAGCTCTCCTTATATTCGCTCCCAGCAGACGCACCGCCCCTGACAGGGATTCAAATCTCCCGCCCGATGGTTGGCAGCCAATCAGGGCGGATGTCCTTATAAGGACATAACACAAAGTAAGAAATATTTTGATTTAGCTCATTGATTGTCCAGTCAGGTTCTGAGCTGAAGCCAAAGGGATACAAGGCATGTTTTGAAACTGCCCTTAATTATGATTTGTATCTGGTATGCTTCCTTGGCATGTCTTGATAGGACTTTTCCACCCGGAATGTGACAACTTGCCCCGGCTGACCCCCCACGGCCAACTCGCCCTGGGACCACTTGCCCCAAAGGAATTACAGTGGGCTTTGTCTTGTTTTAGGTTTCAACCTTTTCAAGTTAGAAATCCTCAAGGCTGGGATGAGTCCCAGTGCCCATGAGTCCCAGTGGTCCATCAGCCAAGGTGTGTGCTCCATCGGCCAAGCCATGATTCAAACCTAAAGCAAGACCCACTGCAGTTGTCCCAGAATGAATTGGTTATACAAGTCAACTGGGGTGAGTCAGCTGTGGCTATGCCCTTTTCCACCATAATATGCTCTGACAGCATGACACTGAGCTGTCGTAACGTAATTCTAAATCGAAATTTATTTTTCCTTGTATTTTATACATTGTTAAAACAAAAGTTATGAACAGAGGTTTCTGGATCTCCTGAAAGGAAAAAAAATAAATAATTCTAAATCTCAAATCTTAAATCAAGTCCCAATGAACTACATGGAGACATCCATGATGTTTTTTTGGATAATGTGAAAGTAGTTTACTACTGCCTTTTTCCAAGATTGTTTTAACTTTTCAGTCAAGTTTGTATCTCTTGACTTCCAGATAATCCACTGTTCAAAAGTACATCACAGCCAACCTGTTTAGGTTTTTGTATCAGGCAAGGTCAGCTTTATAATTATGCATGCTTCTATGTATGTATAGCCTGTTTTTTTCTTTCAGATGGATCATGTTCTGCTTTAATGTCACAATTTTCAGATATGAGTCCAGTTCTGCTAAAAAGTAAGCAAGTGGAGCCCATCTGCAGTATGACACTAATACAGTAGTGATGAAGCAGTAGGAAATTAAGCACTATCTTTTCTTCCTTGTTGAGTTTCTAAGCCCAATGAATAAAGCTTTTCTTGCCAATTTCCATTACCGATAGAAAAAGATCCTATCTGCATTAAGGGGGTGGGATGGGGAGAGAGATAAAATCTCCATTACAAATTAAAGCAAAAGCTCTGTATAGTTACTTGAGGAAAGAAAAAGTGTAACTACTAATTATCTATTTATCAAGAATGCATTTAAATGCCAAAGTATTAGAGTAATGTATTGTTGTACAAATGTAATGTACTGTATTAATGTACGGCTCCCAAAATTCTGTCATGAACCAGCAGCTGGTCTACAAGACAAATACAAGAGAAATGGCACTGCTAGATTTCATCTTTCTGTCACAGAATATCCTACGCGGATGGAATGCCTTTGCAGGGAAGAGCAGGTATGTGAGTTCTCTAATCTGAACTGGTCCAGCTCAGGTAGTGGAGAAAAATGCAGTATTTTATTATTTCTGAAGAGTATCAAATAATATAATACTGTCAAGAGTTTGGCTGTCTTGATTAGATGATTAGATCAGTCACATGGCAACTAATGGATCAGGGATCTGAAACAAGGGCATTCATGGTCCTTGAGGGCTAAAAATCTCTCTTCTCGACTTTTGAAAGGTGACTCTCTTCGTCAAGTGGCAGGGACAAATTTAAACTGAGAGGAAGGAAAATAGAGAGGTTGTTTGAGCCAGATTGGAAGTGCCTTGGAATGCAAATCAACAGGATTTGCTTTTGTAATGTGATCAGAAGTTGTGTTACCTATTTTAAGAGCCTGGTTTTCTTTTCCCCACCAGACTGTTTCTATCTTCTGAATTTGTAAATAAACAAATATATTTCCAGTCTTCTATTGTAGAGAAAAAAACTAAACCAGTCCTCTATTTTTAATACTGATTAGAAGAATAGTAACATACTACAGATATGAGCTTTAAAAGATGGGGTGGGGGCTGAATGTTGTCTGTGCAGCTTAAACTTCTAATAACAACATGAAGGGTTTATTGAAAAAAATACAAGCTAGCAATGGAACACTATTTACCAATACTGTATTTCTTTTTTATGATTTTTTTAGAAGTCCTTTAATGGGTGAATCCAGATCAGATACTCACAACTAGTGAATGTGTAAGTGCTGTTCACAAATTAACAATGATCAACAGCAGATCACAGAGTAGGACAGCAAGTACAGTCAAGAGTGGAAATAATAGGGATGATTCTGTTCCATTGTATACAATTCAAGAATACTTGAAAATGATGTTTCTGTATGTGAAGAAGAACATCTAGCACCTAATCTATCAAAGGATTTTTGTAGATCTGCCGGGGGGGGGAATCTACTTCACTGAAGATTTGCACAGAGCAAGAGATATTGGTTAAAAGATTGGACTTTATATGTATCTGACAGAATGACATTACTGACTCTATACATTTCAGATAATTGGATGAGGGAACATAGAAAATTCTGTATACTTCATTGACAGATAAACAGAATAGGCATGAACGGTAAATAATCGCAAAACCTACACATTTGTTTTTGACAGAGAATATCTGAATTATCAATAGCAGCACCATAAAACTAGTAATTCTTTTCTCTGAAGATCATTGTTACTATTGTGGAGACAAAGAAGACAGAAGAGAGATTCACAATGCATAGGTTATATCTGTATAACTGTGTAGCTGAAAGCTTCACAGGTCTTGAAAAGCCCCTATACACATACAGCTTCACTTAGTGATATGTAACAACCTAGGCTGATACCTGTCAGAGAGCCAATGGCTCATCTAAGTTGAGACGGCACGTTATTTATACTCAGATATGAAGGCAATGTTTGAAACATGCAATCATAAGAATGTAAACACCATTTTTTAAAGACTATTATAACTGCACAGTATAGAAATCAAGTGGTTGAGACTAGTGGTGAAATCCAAATTTTTTACTACTGGTTCTATGGGCGTGACTTGGTGGGCGTGGTGTGGCTTGGTGGGCATGGCTTGTGGGTGTGGCAGGGGAAGGATACTGCAAAATCTCCATTCCCACCTCACTCCAGGGGAAGGATACTGCAAAATCTCCATTCCCACCTCACTCCAGGGGAAGGATACTGCAAAATCTCCATTCCCACCCCACTCCCCACCACACCCCGCCAGAGGTGGTATTTGCTGGTTCTCCGAACTACTCAAACTTTCCGCTACCGGTTCTCCAGAACCTGTCAGAACCTGCTGGATTTCACCCCTGGTTAAGACTTATGTAGATTTGGGACAGAATTGCTCAAAGTATAACCCAGGACAAAACATAATCTTAAAGGAACAAAGAAAAAGGACACTAACATAACCTGATTTAATATAGAAAATGCCAAGTTAAACATAATACTGATAATAGACTAGAGTGATTTTCATTTCATCTTCATGGCAACCTTCTATGTTAATTTATACTTGGACAGAGCAATGGGCCCAAATCACCAAATTTTGAATTCAGGGCTTCATAATGCAAGAGCAATTGTCAATTGATTGCGCTGCATTAGTTTGTTATCTAAGCCCAAATAGGATATATAAATCTATATGCTATATGTCTAAGGAAGTCTAAGTTTAATGGAGCTTATTCCTAAATAAAGGGGGTCTTTTACACCCCTTCACTCAAAAGGTATGCTTCCCTTTTGCTTAGCATAACGCACACTGCTCCTTTCAATCAGAATTTCAATTTTGGGGAACACTATCAACTCTAGTTTTAATTCTGAATGGAGTGGCATTCTTTGAAGGAGAAGCTTGCAACTTGGGTTTTTTTTTCTGGGATCATGGTTACTGCTAGATGAGCAGATAGTAGACCCATACTGATGCATGTTTAAGTCTTATCTGGAAGTGTATACTGTACCAGTATAACTCAAGCCCTGATCACCACAGAAATAGACTTGTGTAATGTGCTATACATGAGGCTGCTTGTTAGTGCAAAATGAGATCAGACAGCACCTGCATTGGAGACTTCGTATAGGTTCCCAGTATGTTTCTGGGTACTAATCAAATTGCTATCTTTGCTCTATATCGTCCTATGTGGCCTGGTTCATAGTACTTCCACGATTCCAAATGTGATCATCCAATCTGGAATGTTCCATCTGAGAAAAGTTGCTAGTGGTTCTCCCTTTTCAGCAAGTGAGGAAAACTGGGGCTCCAAAACTGATCCTTTCTACAATGGCTTTTCTTTTATGAAGGTCTCTCATCAAACTAGCACTAAAATTCCAGAAATTGATTCAAACGGAACTTTTCCAAAGAGGATTTAGAAGATACGATGAAGTTTGGCATAGTTTATGGTTATCATTGATTGATTGTTCTTCTGGTTATGTTTTTTGAGTTGTCTCTTTTATGTTTGTCTGCCTTTGTGTTTGACTTATAGTCTGGAACCTGTTACTGATTACAACAGGATACAAAATAAACAAGCATCCTGAAAATGAGATGTTTAGATTTTAAGACCCCTTTTCATTCAAATAGAAATGTCCTGTAAAATAAGAGTGGATTGTTGTCCAGCTGAGATGCCATGCAATCATCTTCCCCCTTCAGAGTTGTTTATATTTTGCAGAAATCCTGCCTTTTCTTCCTTGTTCATCACCAAACCCTTCAGCTTTGGCACTGTTGTTCATATCATGCACCACTTGAGGGCAGTGATGCTTAATTAAATTTTAATCGCACAGCAACTGAAAATGGCAAAGAATCATCATAAGGCAATAAAAGAAGTTAGGATCATTTTAATAATGATGTTTTTGACTAATTATGTCAGAAGTTACATGTACAAACCCTAAGGGTTCGTGATACATTTGACAACCAGGTTAGCAGAGCTGGGGCAAGCTGTGTCATCCATTGCTTACAAATTAAGTCTTGCAGAATCCAATCACTGCCAAAATAAAATGCAGTAATGGTAGCTTTTCATGAGTCAGTGGACATGGAGCCCATTATCAGCCACAGAATTTATTCCTTACTACACACAATACACTGTTTCTTTTTTTTTTTTAAGGAGAAATAGGAAAATAGGGAAACATCATATGAAAAATATTTTCCTCAACCTCAAACCACAGGTTTTGATGTAAGTAGAGCTATGGTTTCCATTTATGCCCCAAAGTAAATAAAAAATACAAAGCAAAAGCATTTAATAAATAACTTTAATAAATATATGACTTACTCTGCATAAAATAAAAATATTTTTCCCCTCATTCTGGATATAAATGGTTTTCTTTGCTGTCGGAGTTTTATAGGCTGGGCTCTAACATCTCCTTTATTATAATTGTGCACCCACATTATTATTCTATGTAGTCTATAAATGTACTCTATAAATACTATATGAATAAAAGATTAACCATCAAGAGAAAACAAAAGGGCAGCTGGTTTTTATAATCCTGTTAAAATAATCCTGTTTAAAATAATATTGCTATAAGTCTCTACGAAAGTATCGGGAGATGAAGAAAATGGGAAAAGGTGTTTCCAAAGTGAACAATAAACTGCCTTCATGCAGATTGGCTTAAATCTGAGTTGATGGCTGGTATAACCCAGTGCAAAACATGCAATCTATCAAAGAACAGAATAGAAAATTGTGTTAGAAGTGGTTGATTTTCAGAACGAGGAAACGTCTTAGTAGAATTCCATTTTTATTCTTTAGGCCTGCAGTTTGTAGGGAAGCTCCGGCTGTTCTTCACAGTTCAACTTGTTAATAATGTCAGTTGCTGTACTTCGATGATTAAAGACCCTGGGTATTTATATCCAGGCATAGCTCTGGCTTTTGTATTCCTAAAATAGCATAAATGCTCATTTTATCCACTAGGCCCAATAGAGAGTTGCCTGCTGACATGCAGCAGGATGCCTGTTTTATTTTTTCATTTGGGAATAAAATATGAGTTCTCTATATTACACTACATTTGCATGTGAATGTAACCATGCTGGTTCATGGGAAGCTGGAGCGTAATTTTAGGTGACATGCTAAGTAAAAAGTCAGTTAAACTAAATGGTGTTATTACCTAGTGGTTGGAGGGGAGTAAATTCATATTCTTTATATCTGAATGCTGGTGTAGCTTGACATGGACAAATGTCATCTAGAGACTGAGCAGTGACTGCAGATTTCATGGTTGTAACATCTGGTCTAATCAGAAGATCCTTTTCCTATTTTCTCATCTTTTTCCTAAAGAATTCCAAATAGCAATACCAATAGCACTTAGACTTACATAACCTTTCACAGTGCTTTACAGACCAGTCTAAGCAGTTTACAGAGTCAGCATATTGCCCCCAACAATCTGGGTCCTCATTTTACCGACCTCAGAAGGATAGAAGGCTGAGTCAACCTTGAGCCGGTCAAGATTGAAGGAATCAAACTCCTGGCAATGTGAGCAGAGTTAGCCTGCAACACTGCATTCTAACCCCTACACCATCATGGCTCTTGCATCCTCATAGTGTACCTTTTTGAATGATAGTTAAAATTTTTGTTTTATTTTGAATGCTGATTTCTCTTTCCCCTCAAGGGCAGATTCAGCTACCATTGATTTTTTTTGTCCTTTACAGATAATGTGTGTGTCATCATTTTATTTTCAATTTGAGACTAACTTTTTTCCCCTGACAAAACTCATAAACAAAGTAGTTCCAAGAGCTATCATCTAGAATAAGGGCAGGTAGTAGAGGTTGTTTCCAATGCTAAGACATAATTCAGGGAAAGCAGCTGCTACAGATATGTAAGTGCTATAAGTAAACATGGGTATTTTCAAATTTAATACCTTGGTGACAAGCTACCTTGTTCAAGTATCTGTAGAAGTGAGAGTGAAAAAGGTCAAAAGAAATCTTGGCAACAACATCTAGGCAACCATCATTATTATATACAACACTGCTTGAAAAATTCATTCCAGAGAATAATGTTTGGATTCTTCCTTGCAATGAAACAAGTGATTACACTAAATTGTTTCCTAATATCATAGTCTTTGTGTAAATGAAATTCAGCAGTAGAATGTCACCTATCTAGGAAAAATGACTGTATGTTAGAAAAGCACTAAGACTGAATCATATTTCTTGTCAGATATTCAAAAGTGTTTTAATGTTCTTACAGAATTATATTATATCCAAAAGAAAATGAATTGGCAATTTATGCTGAAGAAAGATCACAAAGAGCAAAGGGGGAGGGAGAGGGGGAAAGGGAGACAACAAGCTCCGATGAGTTGTGGTAGTATCAATCTGTGTGTTCCCTATTTGTAGCCCACTGCATCTAATACCATCCTAATGTGGTTTTCAGCTCTGAGCAACTCTTATTGGAAAAAGCTGGAGCAGAGAATACCAACAAAGGTCAGAGCAAGAATTTGGCACAGAGACTTTAGCAGAGACT